TAGAATAGAATAGAATAGAATAGAATAGAATAGAATAGAATAGAATATTTAGTGGTGATATAAGAAATGCATAGTTACAATTGAGGGTTTTAAAAAGGAAAAATATGCATTTAAATAACAGGGATGTATTTCTCCATTACACCTTCTTCAAGGTTGCATCCAGAGGAGAAACAGTTGCTGAGAGGACTGAAGAACCTACAGTAGTCAAATGCCAGGATGAAACCAGATGGCAGCGGTTCTTGTCATGGGTTTTAAGACGGAAGAAGGTGTGATTCAAAATTCAGATCACAGCTAATTCTGTCAACTAACACAATTTTGTTAATTCTCCAAAAGCACGTCCTCTAACATTTCCTCCAAACATTGAGCTAAAAAATAACATAACTAACTTCTCTTTTAAATCAGAAAGAAAATGTATTGTTCATGATGAAAGCAGACCACAATGGTTTATCTAATGAGAATTTATTTTTCTAAGACACCTTGCGTCAAAGAAGAGATAGATAATAGAAATGATATAACACCCACTGCCCTTCAAGATGCTGAGAGAAGTGAAGAAATTGAGCAAACTCAGTATTCAGATACCGGTACCAATTTTGAGTCTGACGGACAGCTTGGGACAGGGAACTTGGATCATCAGGTATGTTGGCTAATAGAGACCAGAAAAAGGAATTTTTAACTCAGCTTTCTTTTGCATTGAAAGTAATAATGAATTTATTTTAAAAATGTATCTATTCTACTATCTTAAATTTATTAAGGCATTACTAGCCAACAGCATTTTCATTCTGTTTTAGAAACTTTATTGATAAGTTTCAAACTATTAACCATATGGTCATGAAGAAATAAAAGAAAACATTTATTTATGTGCTCTGGTCAGCATGCAGGAGAAGATATGTATTTTCCATGTCTCAGAATCAAAAATTTAGAAAGAGTCATTTAAGGTAAAATATCTAATCTACTCACAGCAATAATCAGGGTCCAGAATTGTCAAATTCTGAAAATCCATTCTGTGACATTTCCCAGGAGAAAGCAATGAAATCAATGTAGCAGGCTATCTGTGTCAGCCTGTTGAAAAACCTAACTTGTACTGAACTTGAACTTATAATTTATTTTGTTTTGTTTTAAGAAACAAGGTATTGAAGTTTAATCTTTTAGAGTTTCTTTTATATGAAATATTTTCCAAAAATGATTATATGTGAAACCCATCTAAACTGCAAAATGTCAAAATATTTAATTGTGACTACGGTGCAATATAATGCCGAATATGCTTATTTTTAATTTAAAACCTAGATATTTAGAGTCAGAAAAAGTGCCAATCATTTTTGCTTTTACTGATAAATAAAGCACAAATTCATATGTGTATGTAATCCACCATTATTTAATATCAACATTTTATAGGAGACTTCAGATAATATTGCACAAGGACCAATCCACAAGGAACATGGAAAAGTGATAATCGATTATCCGGATACGGAATTTTCAAATGGCAAAAAAGAATCTGCTGAAGTTCCAACAGAAGGACCAACCACAGCAAATACTACCCCCATTCCCACAGTGTCTGATACCAGTTGTCCACCCAATTCATGCTCACAGCGCTGGAAACCATGGCCTACATGTGCTCAATCCACTCTAGAAGATGAACAGAAGCTGGCTGAGGCTCTATCCAGATTTTCGCTTGAGTTCTATAAAATAGCAGTCCAGAAAAATGATGGTAACATGGTTTTCTCACCCCTTAGCATCATAACAACGCTTTCTAATCTCCTATTAGGTAAGAATACATCACTGGGGCCTCTGCATCCCCCTCTTACCTGTAGGATCTGAAGGGCAGTGTGACACCTGCTATGCAGAAGTCCACAAATGTGTGAGCTCCTTGATTTATGTTTGCATGAAAGGTTCCCTTGTATGCTAAACTTCAGTATAAAAAGATATTCGTATCTTTTCATAATTTCTTAGGTATTATGTTTCTCTAAAAAAAACCTCATAAGTTATGAAACATCCCTCTTGTCATACGCATCCCTGTTTCAAATAGCATTGCTAATATGGGAGACACATTTCTATCTTCCAATCTCATTCTTGTTATAAAAACGTTATAGTACTAAACTATGGGCATCTTCATTTAAATTAAGTATAAAGTTCCTATCTTTCTAGAAATGAGTCAGATTCACTTGGGAATCATTGGCAACCTAAATAAAGCTTTGGACAATTTTTTGCAGTATTGTTCAGGATATATTTGTCTCTATATTGTGTCAGGCTGCTAAGCACAATCTATTATTCTGATTACTATTGCTGAAAATCCCAGGGACACAATTCATTTTTCACTAAAAGGTTTTGCTCCAACAACCAACCAAATTCCAGCTTCCTTTGATCCAATCTGTTTCACCATTTTTATCTAATTTCTTTCCTTCTACGTGAGTCCTTCAGAACAATGAGTCAGTGCTGCAAAATGAACCTCTTGTTCTCTCGTCTAAGCAGTTTTCTGCTCCTCAGAAAACGAACAGTCAGATTTCACTCAGATATCTTGGGCTACAGCACCAACAACTTTTTGCCCATTGGCCATACCAACTGAAGCTGATAATGTTAAGGTCCAAAATATCTTAGGCCACTAGAATGTCTTACTATATCTGAAAAGAAACAATTGCTGTACTTTCACTTAATCTACATCTCAAATGCTGACAACAACAAGCTGGGAAACTGGTTGCATTGTCACACTAAATCATCCAATGGTTAATGATTAATGTCACATGAGTTTAACCTTCTTTGTTGTTGGGAATTGTGTTAATATAGCTGGAAAATGTATCATCTACCTGATTAACACCAGTACTGGTGTGATCCATACAGTGTTAACATTCAAATGTGGCTTTGAAACATGAAAGTCCATTAAAGTGAAGGGTAAGGTTAATGAAGAGATATATCTCTGTCTACCTCAAAGGCACTGTTATAAAATCCAAGAATTTGGGAGTTGAAAGAGTAAGTGGGTTGCAGGAAAAAAAAACTATGTTTTTGCACAATGACACATAACCCCTCCATACGCATATCTTTGCCATTCAGGAGCCTGTAATGAAACCAAAGATCGCCTTGAGAATTTGCTGTTCTATCCTAAAGACTTTGCGTGTGTGCATAGAGCCTTGAAAGTACTTGGCAAGTCTGAAGCCCTGACTTCAGCCAATGCGATTTTTTACCAACCAGGTGAGTAACAGCTGGTTTATTTTAACTAAAGGCCTAATTTTTAAAAGTCAGCATGTTCCCAAATAGAAAGGAAAAATCTTCTTGGAATGTAACTGAAGTCTGGCCTGTGCTGGAAATTACACTCTCCATGTATCTCCATGAATCCATCAACAGATTAACGCATAAATCCCAAAATTATTTACTTCAGATTGTAAATTTAAATTCTGCAGACATATAAAATATGTTCTGCCAGATGTTTAGTATCAACACTAGGTAAAATTCTAGACTAGTCTACCTTGGAATCTAAGGGAGATTCCAAGATAACATTTCAAAAGGCCTTTTTTGAGCCTGCTTTCAGTTTGATGAGCAAATGCTACGGTAGCCTTCTCTAACCTGTTATCCTTTGGGGCCACAGTTCCTCCAGGTTTTGAAAAAACTAACTTATTATAATTTTTAGCTAATAAATGTTACTTGTAATAGTTTCTGTTCCCCCCCCAACCCCACTATTTATATATTCCTAAGGCCCTGCAAAAATATTTGTGTGTGTAAGTAAGTTATAAGTATTTTTGAATTTTGAACTTTTTAATATTATTATAACTATATTTTCTTTGCCCCTTTGACAGACTCAGTCCAAAACTAATGTAAGCACATTTTAAAATCATGCAAATATAAAATACGGCAACAGAACATAAGTAAAGGCACAGTAATTTAAACTATTATGCCTCTCCTTTCTTCTTCTAGTGACATTTTTGGACTTATTATGATTGAACATTTTTGTTGCTGACTTTCCCTTCTTTGAACATCCATAAATATACCTTTTACCTGGATCCATAAGCAGGGTTCTATTTCATTGCTATTTATACGTTTGAGCTAAGGGATCATTTCCCATAGTGCTAATCTATAAATCACATGTTAATTCATAGAACATACAGTGATAGGGAAGGGACCTTGAAGGTCTTTTAGTTCAACCTCCTGGCCATGGCAGGAGGTCCTATACCATTCTGGACAAATGGCTGTCCAGTCTCTTATTGAAAACTTCCAATGGTGGAATACCTACAATTTCCAGAGACAAGCCAATTAATGTCACTGATTAATGGTTCTCCATTGTCAGGAAATTTCTCCTAGGTTGAACCTCTTTTTTATGATCTTACACCTGTTACTTCTTGTCCTGTCCTCAGGTGTTTTAGAATAAATTGACTCCCTCTTCTCTGTGACAGCCCCTCAAATACCGGAAGAACGGCTATCACATCACCTCCTAGCCCTTCTCTTTGTTAGACTAGACATACCTAGTTCCCTCGTTCATTCTTCATATGGCTTAGCCTCCAGACCCCTTATCATTTTTGTTGTTCTTCTCTGCACTCTTTCTAGAGTCTCAACCTTTTTTTTTTTTTTTTTTTGGTATTGTGGTAGCCAGAATTGGAAGCAGCTTTATCACTTCAAGCGACCTTGAAACTAACCCTCTGTTGATGCAACTTAGGCTGCATTTAGCATTGGGCTGCAGCACACTGCTGGCTCATATTTAAGTGAAGGTCTACTACAGGGGTCCTCAAACTTGGCAACTTTAAGACTTGTGGGCTTCAACTCCCAGAATTCCTCAGCCAGCATAGCTTAGTCTTAAAGTTGCCAAGTTTGGAGACCTCTAGTCTACTAGGACGCCTACATCAACTCTCACAGTTGCTTGTCTAAATGGATAAGTGTTCTGTTACCACTTTCTTGTCTGTTTTGAGTTTCATTTCTGTTCTGTCTTCTACGATGCTGCTTTTGGTAGTTTGGACTATTGTTTCCTTTTGCATGAAGACAGATGCAAAGAATGAATTAATGCTTTACAAATGAGTATTTCCAAAGGAAATTCTATAGCTTATAAAGGAATTTATTACAATTCTCATATAAGAACCTCCTTAAAAAGCACTCTTCTGGTCCCTTAAAGAAAATGGATTAATGACAGTATAACATATTCTCTGTAAATGAGCCACAGTTGGCAACCATCCATCTTTATCTTTTAAATGAACAGCAAACTATAAAATCTTAGGAGAGGAAGAATTATATTTATCTGAATTGTAATTGGTACATGCCTACTATTTTAATTTTTTTTAATCTACATTTTTGACACACAGCACTTAAGATGAGCAGTGGATTTCGTAATCTAACGAGTACATTCTATCAAACCAAGCTGAAGTTCCTTACTAACAACACCAACCAGGCAGTGACTGATATCAACTCATGGGTGAGTGAACATACTGACAACAAGATCAAGAAACTCTTGGATGACTTAGATCCTGATGCCCAAATGGTGCTCCTCAACGCTGTCTACTTCCACTGTAAGTAAAATATTTCTAACTCTCTCTGATTTCCTGTAAAAGGAAAGTGCTACAGAAAGGGAGTCCATTAATCTAGACTCTGCCATCATCATTTTCTCAAATAAATAAATAAATAAATAAATAAATAGTTGTTCTGTGCATAAAGTGTTGCTGGATTTGGGATTAAGGGTGGCAATCATTAAAGGATTAAAAATATAACAACCCTGTTATACTGTTATTATGTTATTAAAGCACATATAGAAATTAGAAGTTCAGATATTGGCATATATTGTTTAGCTTGTCAAAGTGATTATAGTTGGACTCAGTGTGGGTGCCTCAGGGGCAATATGATTGATCACACTTCATGACACCAAAGGCCTCATATGGCAATTCCAGTATCCGAAGAGCCTTTTTCACCTGTATTGCATAAGATTCATCTGGTACTTCCGGTAGCTGAACTGCTGAATAAAATCTAGAGCAATATGTAGTGAAGCAAATGTCAGCCTTACTTCCTGTTTATAAGTGGAGAAGGATAATTGCTTCTCAGGGCAGCTTTCAAAGGTATGATTTGCATGAAGTTTTGTCAAATGAGAGAAAACTTCTGATGCTTTGTACAATCCATGGTTGAGCAACTTTTACAAAAAATTCTAACAAGAGGTGAGAGACATGGAGGAGGGGCTGTGACAATACTACTTTCCACACCTTTTTAATTACCTTCCTTAATTCTTTAAGGAATTTCCTACTAAATATTGCCAAGCCAAGCTGTATCCTTATAACCTAACTACTACCTGGTTTTTATTTGCATAAAACATCCTCTTTGGCTGTTCAGATGCCTTTCTCAAAGGAACACTAGCAATTTCTTGTGTGCCTCACAGATGTCACGTCAGATTCTCTTGCACCATTTTCTCTATACTGGAATGTCATTTGTCCCCAATGCATAGTATTTCCTTTCAGGCCTTCTGGTACAAGAAGTAACTTTAGTCCTTTGTCCCTCAGGATATTCTTATCACTTTTTCTTTCTTCCAAGCCTTTTTGATAATCTGTCCCTCTATTGCTGCCACTGTCTTTGAATATTATTATCTTTTGTTCAGCATTCCTTAGACAACTGGTCCCAGTGGCCAATGTATAACTGAGGTGACACTGAGAGTTTCCCATGCACATTGAATTTCTAATTTACATCGTGAAACCTGATTTGACGCAGAAAACGTAGTTAGCTAGACCATCAAGTTAGGCCTGAACATTCATGACAATATGGGCAAATATCTGCCATGCTGACCTGTGTCCAGTAGTAAACCAAGGACAAACCAAGTAAGGTTTGTCTGGTAATCATTTGGGTCCCCAAATTGTTCATTTTGAGATCATTCTTAAAATTGATTCATGCTGCATCTCCTCAGAATGATGAGACTAGCAACTGGTTTTGAATGAATTTATATGGCTGCCCAACACATCCATGGATTGTTGTTACTCTAGTGGATTACAAAATTAAAATTCCTCAATACAGAAACCCATACGCTCACTCCATCCCCTGTTGATGTGATTCCACACATCTTGGAACCTTGTTCAAATTGTTGATTATTCTGTAGAAGAGGAAATGGAAAGAGATGATTAAGCTTCATCCCTCTAACTGTGAAACACCAAGGGATACCATGGGTCTGCATCATGTATGAACCCAGCCACAAGACAAGTTACCAGAAAAAGAAAGTGCATGTTCTCAGCCTATCAATTCTACTTTAAAAAGAGGACTTCTTTACAGCATTATACAAATAATGGTGTCAGTTGTTTCCAAAAATGTTCCACCTTGGAGCAGCCAAGCTTTGAGGGAGACTAGCATATTTATTTTATATATTTATTTTGACATTCACATTCTCTTTCATGCAAACTAGTTTTCAATAGTACAAAATAACTATATATACATATACACATGACTAACTAATAAAACCTGTTAGGAAAATTTCAAAGCAAACAAAAGGAAATATTTTTTCATTATAGGACATACACTGTCTATAGAATCTGTTGCCAAACATGCAGCTATAACCATATCATATATCTTGCTCAGGGGCTTCCTAGAAGTAACTGAATGGCAGCTTGAATAATCTGTGTAGTAAATTGCATTAATTTTTAGTGAGACTCAGCAATGCTCTTCCTATTTTCTTATATAGATTATACACACACACACACACACACACACACACACATATGTTTTCTTAAGTTTTCGCGGGTACTTACATGTATGGTATTCAGCTTTGTTCAGGTATTTTCCCACGTCGTTATAGTTGTGCTTTTAAAGTTGTAGCAACGTTTCGGCAGAATCTCATCTGCCTTCATCAGGCTTCTGTATTGGGTTCGTCTGTGAGTCAGACTTTCACAGTTTTAAATTTCAGTTTCAGTTTTAAATTTGGGGCTAGCCTACTGCTGTGCCAGAATGTTGTTTTTTTCTTAATCCTGATTGATTGGGAATCTTGGTCTGTGTTTATTGGAGTTTGCTGTGTTCTGCTTGATTGGTGTTTCTAATATCTTCTGTCTGTTTTATGGGTTTTTTTGTCTTGATTGGCTGGCAACATTATGTTCCTGTATTGGAGGCTTTTAGTGCAGCTTAGTTCCGAGTAAATGAATGGCTATCATTTATTAGGAAGCTAGGTTTCATCTGGGTGCCTGGTTGGGGTGCTTTGGGCTGGAGGAATCAGGGAGGATCTGTTTGTACCCAAGTATTTGCCTGGCTTGGGGTGTGGAGATTTTTTGTTTGTGAGTGCAGGCTTCCAAACAATTGACAGTCTGGTGGAATCATCTCTTCTATTCATGCTTTCAGGTCTTTTTTAAATCTCTATGGCTTCTCTGATAATTCTGTGGCTGGGGTTTTCTATAGTGGCAAGGGTTTTGGTGCCATTGAAGTCGATGCTATGACCTGTGGCTTTCATGTGTTGGACTAGTGAGGAAGTGTGTTCCAGCTTTTTTACTGCATTTTTGTGTTCATCCAGGCGGGTACTAATTCTTCTATTGGTCTGTCCAATGTATGTGGCCAGGCATGATGCACAGGGGACTTCATATATGCCTTGGTTTTTTAGGTCAATTTTATCTTTGGGGTTTCTTAGGATGGCTGCTATTTTTCTGTCTGTTTTGAAGGCAGTCTTGATGTGATGCCTGTGTAGTATCTTGCTGATTTTGTCTGTAGTACCTCTTATGTAGGGCAGGGCAGCTGTTCCATAGGTCTGTTCATCTTCTAGATCTCCATTATGTCTAAGTGTGTTTTTGTAGATCAAGCCGGTGATTTTGCTTTTGCGGAAGATGTTGGCTGTCAGTACTTTAGTCAGGGTGCATAGTTCAGTCTTTATGTGTGTCTTGTCTGCCAGGCATTTGGTTCTGGCGATTAGTGTTTTGGCCACAGAGTTTATCTGTGCTGGGTGGTGGTGGGATTGGGCATTGAGGTAGCAGTTGGTGTGTGTTTTCTTCTGGTATATGGTGTGCCCTAGTGTGCCATCTGTTTTTTTGTAGATTAGTACATCTAGGAATGGTAGTTCTTTGTTTCTGTTTCCACGGTGAACTTGATTTTGGGGTGTGTGCTGTTTAGGTGTGTTAGGAAATTGTTTAGGTTTTCTTTTCCATGGGGCCAAATCACAAATGTGTCATCAATGTATCTTAACCATAGTTTGGGTTTGTGGGTGGCATTAGCTAGGGCTCTGGATTCAAATTCTTCCATGAACAGGTTTGGACGGGTGACAGTGGTGATCCCATAGGGGCTCCTTCAATTTGCTTGTAACTTTGTCCTTTGTATATGAAATATATGTTGGTTAAGCAGTGTTCTGCTAGTTCCATGAGGTGTTTAGCTGGTTGGTATTTATTTTTGATGATTTCAAGAGGAGACTAAAAGAGTTTTATATATATGTGTGTTTTCTTAAGTTTTCGTGGGTACTTACATGTATGGTATTCAGCTTTGTTCGGGTATTTTCCCA